AAATAAATTTGTGACCTCTTTTCTCCAACATTCACTGAATATTATTAACTAACAACTTAGCAAAAGGGCAAATCAAAATAAATGCAAAGAGTAATAGCATTCAGTTCAGTAATTTAGATTTTATACATCTTTTGTTTCTTATAAATTACTGTGAAATCAGTGTTAATTTTTATAATCTTTGTTTTATTCAAGTATAACATATATGGCATAACATACATTAGGTTGCACAGATTTTAAGTATATAGCTTGATGAATTTTTACAAAGTAAACATTTGTAACCTTTATCTAGATTAAGATGCAGAATATTACCAAGACACTAGAAACATCCCACTTGGCCTCTCTAGATCATAATGGTAATTTGTGTCTTGTTTTTTTCAGATAACAAAGCTTTATTCGTCATCTCTATGTCAGACAATGGAGCCCAAATTTATGAACTGGTGGCACAGACAGTTTCTGAAAAGACTGTGTACGTATTAGATATAGCTGCCTTGCCCTAACTGATATTTTTATTATCTCAAGTATAGTATCCCACAGATTTAACTTTATTTTTTATATAGGACTCTGAAAACCAAAAATTATATAGAAACCAAGCACTTTCTGTATTATTTTAGAGACATCCTTGTAAGAACTTGTTCCTTTTTAGATTAATGCCTTTTATTTTGATTTTATTCCATTGAAAGTATATTTTCTAAAGAAAAAAATCCTCAGGAGTGTCAACTGAAGTTTTTTAATGGGTAATAATATACTTAAAATATTGTTAGATTGTTCTATAAGGTATAGTTTTGGAATCTCTCCATAATAGTATGTTGCCAAAATAAAGATATTCTCTGGCATGGTGGAGTTTTTTTTGTTGTTTGTTTGGTCGGTTGGTTGATTTGAATTTTGGTTTGCATGCTTTGTTTTTATTTTTGCTTTCTCACTGTATTTGAAGAGCATTTCTTTTTTTCTTTCCTTTTGTATTCTGGATTCCTTTCAAACTTCCTGAAGCTGGCAGGACCTAATCTGTCGGATGGCTGCATCGGTGAAGGAGCAATCCACAAAGCCAATTCCATTACCACAGTCTCCGCCCGGCGAGTGAGTGTTCCTTTGCATTGTAGTAGGACTTATTTTGTGTTTTGGGTGAGAAAAGAATAGGATAAGTCTTACATTTTGTTGCAGTGATGTTTGGTACCTCATGAAGATAAAAGATTGTTTTCTTTCTTCTACAGAGGAGACAATAATGAGGAAGAACCTTCAAAATTGAAAGGGGAACATCATGGCATTTCAGTCACTAGTTTGCAGAGTCCAGGTAAACTTATCTGATAAGTTTAACTAGAAAAATGTAGTCCCATTATCTGTTAAATTGCAAAGAAACTTTAATACTGGATTAAACTTTAATAATGGTTTATGCAGGTTCTGGCATTGGATATTTGGTTTAACAGACTTCGCTTATGAGCCTTCTATGTGTCAATATAACACTCCTCTAAGTGCTGTATTTTGCTTAACAGATGATCTCTGTAGTCAATGTGGTTTTCTTTTTTTTCCCCAATTATTTCTTGAATGTTCTTCATGTTAAAAGTTTTGTTAAAATAGACTCTACCTTTTCTGTTCCATTGAACAGACAGAGATTTTGGATTAGAATCTCACTTAATATCATCAAAACCTCCGTCTCATTCACTGAATACCTCTGGGAAATCAGAGGTAGGCGATCTGTTTGTGGCTGAGAGACAGTTTGCAAAGGAGCAGCATGCAGATGGGACACTAAAGGAAGTTGGAGTAAATTATCAAATCACAATCCCAGATCCACACTTGTCTGTCTCAGAAGAACGGTGGGCATTGGATGCACTAAGGAATTGTAAGTTTTATTCATAACTTAGTCCAGATACTTATGAAGTAGTAGAGTTGTATAATGTATAGGCTATAACTTTTCCCTTTAAGAAGTTTATAGTCTATTCTGAGTATAGTTGGGAGTTTAAATTTTAAAAAAACAGAAAATAAATTTCAAGTCTAGTTGGGATGATGATAGAAACACCCACCTTTTTTAAGAAACCCACCTTTCTAAGTAACCATTCAAAGAGTAACAATGCAGGTATGTCAAAATTGATTTGGGTTGGGGTGACCAGAGAAGGAAGGCAGACATCAAAGAAAAAGAGAGTTGTGATTATTGCCTTGAAGGATGAGCAAGATTCAGATAGCTATGTAGAAGAATAGAAGCCATTGAGACAAGAATTATGATAGGACCAAAAGCACAGAGGCAGAAAACTCTGAGGGTGTTCAGAGAGCACTGAGTGGACAGGTCGACCTGTGGGAGACAGTAAGTTAAAGGAGTGTAAGAGATGAGGTCGGAAAGGTAGAAAATGTGCCATTGAGAACTTTGAATACCAGATTGGTCTTCCATACTTTAAGGATGGTACATCTCAGTGTTTTGAGGGCTTTTCCATACTACACATATTATTCTAGCATTCTCATGAAGAATGTAGTATTCCCGACAATGGCCATGCTACACACATATGCATGCGTGTGCGCACAAACACCCTTGCCACTCTGTTAACTGCCCCCCCACCCCCCACCTCCCAGCCTGGTTGGGAGTCACTGTTACAAATGGGAGGATAGCACATCTCTCAGGTATACTGAAGTGGGAAAAAGGCTGAGAACAATTGCTTTATTTGTAGGGAACCATTTGAAGCCAGGGTATGACTAATAAAAAAAGACTAATCTGGTTGAGAGCTGTGAAAAGATTTGAATGCAAAGAGACATGGGGTGGTGTGCTTACTAAAGAAGCCATCATAGCAGTCTGGTCTTGAGGCTAAGAGGATTTGGACTAGACAGGTTATCAGAAGGAAGAAAAATAAAGTGAGGAATCAACAAATGCTTAAAACAATTGACTTGTTTGGGTGTGAGGGCAAAGGAAAGGGAATATTTAGAGATAATTTCAGTATTCTTGTCAGAAATGTGAGTCTGAAAAGAACCACCGTCATCTCCCCCCATTTCCTGTTGTCAGACTTTATTTTGTCCTTTTTTTAATTTGGTGGGGACTATAGGCTCAGTTTTAAGGCATGTCAAGATTAAGATAATGAATTACAAGCCATTAAAGAAGAAGTGACTAGGAGGAAGTTGGAGTTTTAGGACTGGAACTTTGGAGAGAGTTTAGAAAGAAAAGAGATTTGGGTGTCGAAGCCATGAGGAATGTAGAGCAGGAGCACAGAGTGTCATGTGGACACAGTCTGCCTAAGGAAACATAAGGTAGACATTAAGGCAGTGATGAAAGTAGGGCTTGGGTTAAGTTATTTAAAACCTAATTTATTCTAGATACTCCCAAATTAACAGTTTTAATGATTTCTGATGGTTTGACTAACGTTGTTCAAGTAACCATATCATTGTTTGAGTGATCTCATGGCATATACTTTGCACACTTGTAATTAAATTGGTTCTTCTTTTCAACAACCTAAAGAAGCTGTCCACTAGTATGGTAATTTTTTTAAAACTGATAAATATTTCCTTATCCCTAGAAATTACATGTACTACTAAATCATTGGAATTTTATTACAAGGCAGTTTTATTTTCTTCTGCACTATTTAGGGAGATTCTTTGGGTTATTATAAATAATAAAGGAAATGTTCTGCGTGACCAATAAAATTAGAAAAAATAATGCCTATGCATAGTGTCTCCTGGAAACAGCAGAACTTTTAGCTTTTGTTGTCTAGCTTAACACAGCCTTTCAGTGTTCTTAAAAAGTACCTTTGGGGGTATTATTCCAGTTATATGGAAGAAAAAATGGAGGCAAGATATTGATTATTTAGGAGTTCAAAATAGGAGTACCTTCCTATTCAGAATGTTTAGATCTTTTCAAGTCTACTTTAATGTTAAATCTTCTCTAGAAGATGGTGTTCTACTTCTTTTTTCCAAAAATAATTCATTTCATTTCCAACAATGATTGTATAAAATTAACATTTTGGCTGTATGTTATTAAAAGGCACTTACTTTTAGAGATTATTGGTAATTTAGGTAACTAATTTAATTCTGGCAGTCTGAGGTTATAGTTGTCAATATGCTTTTTCCCCCCCCTTTTTTCACCCTTTCTAAATCTTGTAGTGGGTTTGTTGAAGCAGTTGCTGGTTCAACAGCTAGGTTTGACTGAGAAGAACACTCAGGAAGATTGGCAACATTTCCCAAGATATAGGACAGCCTCTCAGGGGGTACAAGCAGACAGTGGAATCCAGAACTCTGATAATATTAAGGCCTATCATCCTGGTGAAGGACAGACGCCCTGTAGAACTGGAACTGGTGACATTGAAGCTTGTTATAGTCCACGGACTTCTACTGAATCTTCTGCTCCACGGGATTCAGTGGTACTGGCATCCCAAGATAGCCAGGCAAGTAACATTTTAGTAATGGACCACATGATTATGACCCCAGAGATGCCTACCGCAGAACCAGAAGGGGGTCTTGATGAGAGTGGAGAGCACTTTTTTGATGCCCGTGAAGCACATAGTGATGATAATCCATCAGAAGGTGATGGAGCAGTTAAAAAGGAAGAGAAGGATGTTAATTTACGCATCTCAGGCAAGTTTTTTTCACATATAAACTTTGATTTTAATCATTGTTAACTGTTCTGTATGCTGAAATGGATGTTGTTTTGGTATCTAAGTGTATGTGTATGTGTATGTTTGTGGCATTTATTTATTCCTTCATTCAATAAAAAATTACTGTATCTGCTATATGCCACACTTCTTCCTAGGTGCAGAGAGAAATAGCAGTGAATAAAACATAGGAAAATCCCGTTCTCATGAAGTGTAATTACTGGTAGGGGAAAGAGGAATGGTAAATAAGTAAACAAATAAGTAGATGTCACATAGTGAGATTAGGGAGAAAAATAAGTCAGACTAAGGGGACAGAAGGTAACGAGGGCAGACAGGATGATCAGGGAAGAAGACTTTTGATGAGGCAGCATTTGAGCAGAGACCTGAGTGAAGTAAGAGAAAAAAGCCGTGTTGATACCTCGGAGCAGAGTGTTCCAGCAGACGGCAGAGTGAGGCAGAGGCTGTGTATCAAGAGCAAGCTTTTTGTAGTTACGGAACACAGGGTGAGGGAGAAATGCAGACATTAGGCAAGTGTCTGGCAGGGGAAGTGGTGGCAAGAGCATAGACTTTGTAGTTTCCAGCTTTAAACTTTTAAAACGCTAATATTAAATTACTCAGAAATCACTATGAAAGTTTGGTAAGTTTAGCTTTAATCCGAAATGAGAAAATTCCGATGTACTTAAAACTAAACTTGGGAATTAATGGCTTTTCCCCCTGCTCTTTAATAGCTTTTCGAGTTGTCAGCATACTGTGTCATCTCTGTTTTCTCATTTTCTGATGGCACTACTAATCTCATCAAACTCTTCTGTCTCTATCAACAGGAAATTATTTGATCCTTGATGGCTATGACACAGTGCAGGAGAGTTCCACAGATGAGGAGGTTGCTTCCTCACTTACCCTGCAACCCACGACAGGCATCCCCTCTATGGACTCCACCCACCAGCAGCAACATGCTCCCCAGAATGCTCATTCCGATGGGGCAGTTTCACCATTCACCCCAGAATTCCTGGTCCAGCAGCGCTGGGGAGCTATGGACGATTCCTGTTTTGAGATCCAGAGTCCCTCCTCTTACGCAGATTCACAAAGCCAGATCATGGAGTATATTCATAAGATAGAGGCTGACCTTGAACACTTAAAGGTACCTAATACTTCAGCATCCTTGGGACTTGATTCTATAATAAGAAACACATTTAGCAGAGGGGAAGTATGGAATGATTGAAATGCTGATGTCAATAAAGTGGTTCAGGTTCTAGATTTCTATGTGTTCTTTGACCATTATCCAGGAGTATGCTTGGATAAAAAGCTGAGATTGGCTTTGTTTATCTTATGACAAATCACTAGAGCAGGAAAAGTTGTAGCTCTGTAAACTATGTGTTTGTGTGTATTTCTAATTTTAAGAACCTAAAAAGCTTGGGGTAGTTGGCTGGCCTCCATCAGACTATATGAACAATAAGCTGAGGTAGGTGGGGTTTATGTAGTTATGAATCTAGTCTGGGAAATGCTATAACTTGCTATAACCTATTAATTATCTGTGACTCATTAGGTGACGTTGGTAGTTTCCCAGATGCTATGACAGATAGAAATTGGCTTCAGTGGCTCCTATAATCTAAAGACCTGGTCATGAATGGGGGTTTTGTAAATTGGTTATTGAAGATGTCACTATTTCAAAACTGACTTGTGTGGCAATTTCTGAAAGAAGGACCCTCCCTGTCTTAAGGTTTGCTGTCAGTAGACATAGCTGCCAGAGCTCAAACATTTTTTCATGACATCATTTAGTTGGGAGGCTTTAGGGACAGATTTAAAAGTGTTGTTAGGTTTTTAGCTAAAGAGTAGTCTCCCTTAGTTTCTCTTTTAACTTCATATGATAGATTCCCCCCCTTTTTGATGATAATATATAGTATCATTCAGTGGCTGATGAGGTGTCTAAAAGGTCGAGTCTCAAAAACAGTTGTGTGCCACTTAATAACGGGGATATGTTCAGAGAAGTGTGCCATTATGCATTTTTATCATTGTGTGAACATCATAGAGTGTACTTACACAAATCTAGATGAAATGTATATTTTAATTTATGTATATATTTTCATAAGGAAAACCAAATGTCCCAGCACCATTACTGAATACCAGTCTTTTTCCCTACTTGATCTGCAATGCCAGTATCAAGTGCCGTATATCAGGTTTCTGTATATACTCCATTATAATCTTAAGGGACCACTGTCATATACGTAGTCTGTCGTTGACTGAAACATCTTTATGTGGCACATGACTGGAATTCATGCCACATGATGTGGGACTATTTTCAGGGTGACTTCTGGGGATGAAAGAATTACCTTTTCCTGGTTACCTCCTCTACTTTCTTTTTACTTGGGAAGGTTTTAAATTATTCATTCAGAGGAGAAATTGGTAAAAGGAATGAAATCAACATTTTTCTTCGCACTAACAAAATTTTTAATGATGTTAATGTTGAAATCTGGGAGCAATATGAAAAAGCCTTTTCCAGGTGTGATGGCTCACGCTTGTAATCCCAGCACTTTGGGAGGCCGAGGCAGGAGGATTGCTTGAGGCCAAGAGTTCGAGGCCAGCCTAGACAACATAGCAAGACGCTGTCTTTACAAAAAAATTAAAAAATTAGACAGGTATGGTGGCACTCTTTTGTAGTACCAGCTGCTCAGGAGGCTAAGGTGGGAGGATCACTTGAGCCTGAATGTTTGAGGTTGCAGTAAGCTATGATCATGCTACTGCACTTCGGCCTGAACAGCAGAGCGGGACTCTGTCTCTAAAATAAATAGATAGATAGATAGATAGCAAGCAAGCAAGCCATCTCTCTTCAAAAGTTTTTGTTTTGTCTTTTTCATGATGTTCAAATGAAAAACCTATGCGTTTTATTTTACAGAAGGTGGAGGAAAATTACACCATTCTTTGCCAAAGGCTGGCTGGATCAGCCCTCACAGACAAGCATCACTCAGGTATGTGAAAATTGTGGACTCTACTGGAGAACATTATGTTAAATGAAATGAGCCAAGCACAGAAAGATAAATCTCGTGTGTTCTCATATTTGGGAGCTAAATATTAAAAACAATTGATCTCATGGAGACAGAGAGTAGAATTACGGTTATCAGAGGCTGGGAAAGGGTAGCGGGGAAGCAGGGATAAAGTGGGGCTGGCTAATAGGTAGAAAAATATAGTTAGTTAGATAGAATGAACTATATTTGATATAGCACAACAAAGTGACTATAATCAACAGTAAGTTAAGGTATACTTTAAAATAACTAAAAGAGTGGAATTAGAATGTTCCCAACACAAAGAAATGTTAAATGCCTGAGGTGATGGTTACCCCAATTACCCTGATTTGATTAATTCACATTGGATGCCTGTATCAAAACATCACATGTACCCTGTAAGGATATACCACTATTATGTACCCATAATGATTAAAAATAAAAAATTTTCAAAAAATAATTGTAGCTTCTAGACTCTAGAATCATCCTGCCTTAACAGGTCACTGAATGAAATTATTTATTATTCTTTAAAGTGAAAACTCTCTGAGATTCCATTTCTTTTTTGTCTTTAAAAACTGTTTGTTTCTAAACATCATATATCAAGTGGAAGCTCTTGTCTGCTGACTCTTCCTTCTCTAAGACGAACTGCAGTTGTCAGTTCCCAGGCTATCCCCTCTTCTCTCTCTCTCTTCACCGTTTCAAAAGCATAAGGCAGAGTGGTGGGAAGCCTGGTAAATCATAGATTCAGTATGAGGTTTCCTGGTGTGGCTGTGACCCCCTAGAGTGGAGGACGGGCCTGCTCAGGTCTTGCTGTACTCATCTCCCCTTGACTGCAGATGGCTCTGTGTTCAGTGCAGCAGTTTGTTCTACTCACCTGTGCTTCCACGCTTTAGAATGGGACAGTTCTGGTTCAGAAACAAGGCTATAACCATGCCCACAGATTTCATGGGTATTCTTTGCGATGTTAATTTGTTAATTTGTTAATTTTTTCTTAATGTGATTTCCACATATCTTTCTTCTTCTCAGATAAAAGTTAGAGCCATGTGTGCTGGAGGTGACTGCAGGTTGTTGGATTTTGAGCATCGGCCTTGTCTCATCGCATCCTGGCTCCAGTGTGACGCAGAGAGAGTGTGTGACAGAGGATCTGCCTGTGAACCCCCTGGGGTTAGCCATGTCCCAAGGTGCCCAGAGCGGGACTAGTTCTTCACAGTGTGGCAGCTGCACTAGTCTGTCAGTGGGGGAACATCCATTCTCTCACTCTGCTCTCCTCACTATCGGAAATTCATTTTGATTCAGAACAAAAACCAAATGTATAGAGCTTTGGGTGTAGGATATGAAATTGTACTTAGACATAAGAAAAAGAGAAAATCAGATGTATTTATTTGACTTCATTCCGTATTTGAAAGCACATTTTAATTTTTATTTTGCCTTGTTTTGTTTTAATTGAGTAGTGAGAGTTTTAGCCCTTTGTATTTAGTACACCCAAGGATCAGTTGCTCCTAAAGCAAAGAGGTCAAGATGGGGTATTAGGAGGTTGGGTAGAGAGGGGAAGAAGAGGAGGAAGTGAGAAGGGGAAGGAGGAGCATCTTGCCTTCACTAAACTATATTCCGTGCCCTCTGCTGTCTAGTAGGCTGCTTTTCTGAGGGTCACCTCAAAGGTATAGTATGCCCTGTGGCTCTTAATGTGCAGAGGACTTGAGCTGTGTGCTGCCCAGGTGGTCAGAGAGTAGGTGGGCTTCCTCCCACCCTGAGGCAAGCACCTCTTCTCTGTAGCTGGGATCAACCCCCAATTAACAGGAATCCTCAATGTACTAAATAGCAGGCACTTGAAAATGGGTGTGTTTTCTTTTGTTGTTGTCTTTTCTATTGAGGGTTGGGATTTGGGAGGGAGAGGAAAGCAAATTTTATTTTCTTGACTATAAATTTGTTATTCTTGGTATTGTTTCATTTTTATAATTATACATTAGACATTGGCACTTGTGAAAAACTATCCCTGCAGATTGAGCAGGAAATAAAAGGAAACAAATAGAAATGCTTCAGATGGTGGCAGGGTTGTGGGTTGCCAAGGAAGGGCGGGATGGGAGTGGGTAAAGAGTTCGGGAAGGTTAACTGACTGAATCACTACTGAGTTGAACCATGGCTGTCATTGGCCACGGGTACTGCTGATTACAAGGCCAGTAAAATTTTTAGTACCTGGAGGTTTGACTCTAAATTTTGCACTGATGGTGCCAAAGGGCTCTGAGTCAAAAGGAGAGCCAACAGTGGAGTGGAGAAAGATGTGGTGGAGGAGGTAGACCTGCTCACATCAGCTCCAGAAGCACTTCCTCTGACTTCACTGCTATAGCTCTTTCCACACTGGGCCGTGACTGACCTTAAGAATTGCAGACCAGAACATACACTGGATACTGCAGGCAAGGTGTTGGTAACTGCCTGCTCTAGAACAAATAGTAGTATTGGCAGCACCCTGCAGAGGATAAATATTTCAGAATTGTAACTTGAGGACTCCTTCAATTATATTGGCTTTCTGTGGTTTTCTTTGTGCATTAGGTATATATGTTTTGGAATATTTTTGCCAACTAAAATGAAATCTGTAAATTCTGTTAGTAAACAAGGAGTTCATCCATTGCTCACATCTTTCAGTAGTGCCCTCTGAACTCTGTGAGTTGCCAGGATATAATTTTATTCTTTCCTGCAGTCCCCCCCCAAAAAAAGAAGATTTTTCTCACCACAAATGGTAAAGATTCCCGCCTGCTTTTATAAACACCACTACAACTTAACAAGCTCATTTATTTATGTCCAGATTCCTGTTTCTGTCCTTTCAAAACTGATGTCTGTTTTTATCTTTGGACCTCATATATAAATTGGAATTATATTTTTAGTTATAGGCCAAGTATAATTTAACTCAGTGTGGGATTAAAAATTTTACAAGCAGAAGCTGATATATAAATGAAGCTTGGAACTTGGAACTTTCTGTATGTATCTCTTAGGAGGAACAAGTAGAAACCAAATGGTTATATTGTGCTGCTAGAAATGATGTAGTCACTCCCAACTAAAAGGGTTACACCTGTAGCCACTTGACACTAACACCATCAGGGGGCAATTAATCAGGAGAAAAATAAATATGGTAAAACTTTCATCTTAACTTGAGACACTACAGGGTAATTATATAATTCTCCAGCACTCAATTAAGAAGCTTCTAGGTTAGCAAAGTTTCAGTCTCTTTTCTAGCTCAACCAGTATCTTATCCTTAGTAATTATTTGCTTTTCTTTTCCTGCTGTTTAACCTCTTTTTAGAACTGTTACAGGACTAATTGGAAAAATACTTTGACCATAGCTCTAGTGCTTTCAAATAAATTCATATTTAGATTTTCAAACAAAGCCCCAGGATGAAGTCTAATTCTGAAAAGATCTCAAAAGTTTGAGTGTTCTTTTTATCTTACCAGCCTAACTTCTGTCCTTCTCCCTCCCAACCTGGCTTCCCATGCCGTCCATTTCATTTTAGCCATTATAATCACATGCATTTGACTTTCATGTCTTTATCTCTCTTTCAGAATGTTGGAATTAGATATTAATCCTGTCTTTGAGTGAGACTGGTTACCATCAAAGTGGTTTTCTCTAAGTTACATGACTAGAGGTTGGAATCTACTTCCATACTGAAGGGTATAAGGGTGGTATACAAAGCAACCTTCCCAGAGCAAGAAAGCTGCATTTTTGCTGTTGAAGTGAACTGCTATGACACTGTGCTCTCTTCGTGGGCTTAATGGCCCCTTTGCTATTAAGTGGCAAATTACATTTGGAGTGTCTCCTTCCTTTACAGAGAACAGAGTTAATCAAGGCAAATCAGCAAGCCCCCAAAGTGCTATAATTTCAAATCATTACTGCCTTAGAAGCCATATATTTTGCATAATTTAAAATCAGCTAACTTGGACTGCTTGAGTTATGTTGGCTTTTAGAACTTAAATTGTAACTATTTATTATATTATATTGCATGGGAGGTATATTTCATAAGCTTTTTTGGCTTTCTTTTCCCCAAAATAACCTCTAATAACTGTTAGAAAGGATGAGTCCCCTTTTTAAAAGTTTTTTTGTTTGTTTTTTGGGGAGGAGAGGGAGTAGCTACTGTGATAGTAGAGGAGAAAACTCCATTTTTTCTTATTTTTAGAAGCTAAAGAAAATAATTATACTTCCTGTAAATTGTCTTTTATGTACATCATTTTTTCCTTTTTGATGCTAGTAAATTTGGTGTATTACAGGAGGCGTCCATTATTTCAAACTGGAACCTCTCTCCTCTGCAATTGGTATATGATGTTATTTTGAACTACTAGAGCTTTGGTCAGTATTTCCTTTCCTGTATGTCACAGAGGGCGACATTGAGAACTGTGTGCATAGGACTTCAAAATACAAAATTAGCAGGACCTTACAGTCAACTTCATGCTGGCTAGTGTTTTTCCCCTATAATTACAAATTTTTGTTTTATAAATCATGTTTTTTCTGATATTTCTACCCCCTTTTCAGAGTGATCTGCAAAATTGTTCTTTCCTTAAGAAAAGAGTTCCTTTTGCCTGGTTCCCTATACCTTCCCCACTGGTACTGAGGGTTTTGATAATAAATTGGTAGGAAAAAAATGTACCTCCTAGAAGGAAGCCCTCCCTGCCATTTCCAGGTGCCAACGGCTAAGCAGATGTACTGCAAAGATGGTAGCTGTAATGTGCACACTGTTGGTTATTTTTAATAAGCCTCTTCCTACTAGAACATTTTATTTTCCTTGTTCACCATACAATCATGTACTCTTTAACAGAAATTGCTTTTAAAAAAAAATCTGGAACTATCTTTAAAAAACTTTATTAATAATCATGTATTTTTACTGATCACATTTTGAAATGCCTAAAAGACTTTATTGTTCTAATTATCCAGATGTACCTTTGTAAAATAGCTCTTTTATGAATTAGCTGATAAGGCTGTATGTTTCTGGAACAAAATATTGGTCATTTAAAAACTTTCTGTTTTCTGGGGTCTGGGAAAATAGAAAATAAGAGTTCAAATATTAAATAAGCTTAAAGGAACCAAGTATGTGACTTTTTCTTTGTATTCTTATTGATTTGTCTTATCCATGTTACATTAGAAAAGTTGAGGAGTGGTGCAGCTTGTAATCAAATCTTACTGGCAGTGACTCCCAAACATCTTCCTGCTTGTTGGAGCATCTTTACTCGTGTGACTGGCTAGTTGGTCTCTGTAATATATAAACCTCCATGACAGTGCTGGCAGCTGGGATTGCCCTAGCATCTGAGCAGCTTCATTGTTGTTTTTTTAACAACTCTATTGAGATACTCACATAACACATAATTCACCCATTTAA